GTTCACAACCACTCCTTCCCTCCATCTACTTGGCGTATACTCGTTTTTCCACACCCAATTGTATAGCAGTACCATCAGCTGGATCATCCCCTTCCCCCCAAACTTCATGAACTCGTTGACTATCCCATCCGCTCCTGCTGCTTTGTGGCACTGCAGCTTGTTCACACACGCCTCAACCTCGTCCTCAGTGAACTCCTTTTTTTCTAGTTCTACGTTCCCAACGTCTGCCTTCGATGTCTCTTCTTGACAGTGGGGGAGGACAATCAAATCCTTCCCCACTGTCATTTTCAGAGTTTTTTGTCTGATGTGATCGACGCTGCTATTATATGTATAGACTGTAGTCTATACGTACAGATGCGTTTTGGTGCGCTAGTGTAGTTGAGGACTCGACAGGTGAATGAGATGAGGGGGAGACAAGAGAGATAGATCGATCGCAATCGACAAGGAGGGAGCAGGGGATGCTGGCTGCTGACTTGTGTGTTGTTCTCTTTCATGTCGAGGTGTTGGAACGAAATGAGATGAGGGGGAGGCAAAGAGGGAGCAGGGGATGCTGGCTGCTGACTTGTGTGTTGTTTTCTTTCATGTCGAGGTGTTGGACCCTCGTTGAGATTCAGGCTCCGTTTGGATACCTCAGAGGGTAGCGCAGAAAGGAGAGAGAGGTGGATGGATGTGCTACAGTCCTCTCGTCTGCCGATCTCTTTGTCTCAGAGGCGCTGTGTCGTACAACGTACTACTTGTTACGAGATGAGATGAGATGATATCTGATACATGTACGGTACCAAGGCGAGCGCCGGGGTGCGTGAAGTCGCTTGGGCACTTTGTTTGATCCTAGCTTATTGTTGCAACGTCAGCTTGGTGACCGCCAAAGACATAGAACCGGCAGATGCATGAACGGCTGGCGTGTACGGTATTTGGTTTGTTTTTAATTCATTTTGAACATCCATTCCCCACGAGGATAAAAAAAATGGGGGCGGTGGGGTGAGAACCTCATTTCGTCTTGACTGCAGAGCGTTTGGATGAGCTACCAATGTATGTGTTGTTTCCGTGTGAGGGTGAAGATCTTGATGGGGCAAAAGCGCGAAACATACAAAACGTTTGATTTGATGTACAAGCCCGTGATGAAAACTTGCTCTTTTTTTTTAGCACTCCTCGCGGCCAACGCCATGAAAACGACTTGTGGTGCAGAATGTGGCATGTGTGCATGCGTTGTATCTTACTGGAGACCCACGTGGTAAACGCACGATGCGGTGTGGGGGGCGGGGAGGAGGGGGGAGACTAGCCGTGTACTACGTGCGGCGCTGCCACTGTCAACAAAGTTTGTTACTGTCAGTGCTTTGTGCGGGTTGAACAGGTGTCTGTCACGTTGACACTACGGTAGGTTCGTGTTGGAGTGGTCTCCTAGGCTTGATGGTCTTGATTTGATGGTCGCTGAACAAAGACAAAGCAACAGCGGAGGCGTGACGGACCTTGGTGTGTGCGTGTTCTCCGCCTAGATTGGACAGGGTAGGTGTACAGTATGTGGTGTTTTTTCTGCATCCTTCAGTACTTCCCATGAGGAACGAGAAGATATAAGGAGGAGGGGTGATAATCTTTAGCTTCGTCTTCGCTGAAGAGCGTTTTGATGAGCTACCCATATTAATATGTTGTTTCTGTGTGAGGGTGAAGATGTTCATGTCGGTAGTGTGATGCACGCAAAACGTTTATGTACGAGCACGTGACGACAACTTGTTTTATACTCGCATTGCCAACGCCAGCAAACGAGATGTGCATGAACGTGGTATGTGTGCATGCGTTGGTTGGTTTCTTACTAGAGATTTACATGTGAATTGCTCTGTGCGGCGGCCGGGGGGGCGGGGGGGTAGGAAACTCGTTGTAATGTATGGTGCTATTTGTGCTGTCAATTTTTTCGTTGTTACTGAAACTTTATTGTGAAGAGTGTGTCGATGTGGGATGAACGGGTGTGTGTGTGTGTACGTTGATAGATGGATATTGTTTCGTTCAGCTTGAAGGGATGGGTGTTGTTCACTCTAGTCTAGATCGATCGGCCCTACCTTCCTACCTTCTTGTTGTAACGTTTCCCAGGCTGATGAATGCTAACCAAGAACTAGGAATAGCGGAGTCAGGCGTGATGGATCTTGACATATGCGTCTTCTCCGCCTAGATTGGACAGGTACCGTATGTGGTGGTATGTGATTTCGACCTTCTAGGCATTCCCCACGAGGAACGAGAAAAATGGCGAAGGGGGAGGAGGGGTGATATTTTTTTTTAACATCGTCTTCACGAAAGAGCGCTTTGATGAGCTACGTTTCTGTAGGAGGGTGACCTTGGTGTGGTAGATCGGTTTCGCGATACACACGAAAAAAACTTTGACGTACGAACACGTGATGACGACTTGTTCTTTTGTTTCATACTCGCATGACCAATGCCATTAAGACGGTGCACGAATGTGGCATGTGTGCGTGTGTTGTTACTCATGGTAAATGCTCTATGCGGTGTGGGGGGGGGGGGG